ATTTATTTACACAGAAAAAAAAATGTTGATTCATTGTTTACCTAAATTGATCCTTTCTATAAAACTTTACGGGAAAAAATAAATTTCCTGATGCGAATATACCTATTTACTCGTACAATTATACTCACAAGTTTATCATAAACCTAATTGTAATCTTAATAAGGTATATCTAAATCTCTATTATGCGTATCATGTGCGGGCAATATTATCTGATTATCTTTAAGCTTAGATCTTGTGAGTTGGAAAAATCTTTTCGTACCTTCGCTGAGAGAAAATTTTCTCGTCTAGTGTTTAATGCTCATTCAGTGACGCAGACGTCTAGGGGAATTTCCACATCCCTAACTTGTGTTCTATAGGGTACCATGACATTTTTGTGTATCATCTTGGAAAAATTTGTAACTATGGTCTGTATGCTTAGACATGGATTTCACAGGTTCTAAATGTATTTTTATGAATCATAAATTTTAACTTTTGTTTAAATGCATCTGACTCAGATTAAAATTCTGGTATTTTAGCGTCTTTGACTTTTAATCCATTAGCTCAAATATGCTTTAGTGTAAATCCCGTATACTTTGTAACACATTAAGCTCATTTTGCTAGGATTTTCCCACATTTTGCTGGGTTTTTCGCTGAATCCTTTAATTTACCGACACTGATACGACTTAAAAAAACATCTCTAATTGACAAGATAATTTATGAGATAAAAAATAAAGAGAAGAAAATATATTTTAAAAATAAATATAAAATATATTTTATTTTTGAGATATAAATGACATTTTTTGCATGTTAAATTCTGAGATTGACAGTGTGCCCTATAAAAACATTTCGAGGGTTTTACTTGTCAATATGAGCGTCAAGTTGAGGGTTAAAAGTGAGAATATACCTGTTTTATACTATTGTAGAGATTCAGGTTGATGTTTTATTTTTTTACTAAAGTTATAGAGATTTCGTGGATCTTAATGTTTATGAATAACAACAAGTAGTGTCTATTTTTCTGGTGATTGTCAAAAGGAGTCAACTCTAGGCAAAACGTTTTCCTTAAATCAGGTGTGTATTTACCATTATTTGGTTCAGAGTCACGTTCTTGAATATTTCCAGAATAATACTAAGTCGGTCGGTCAAGTTTAGAAATAAATCTTGCCGGTATTACATAAATATTGAATATTAAATATTATAAATATGTTTAAGTATTCTTTGAGAATCTAGATGAATTTGCATACACATAGTCCTGTGAGATATTTTCTCTATTTTTCAAGAGAATAAAAAAATTGCAATGCAAACAAAACGCCTACCTATGTACTAATTAAACACTTTTCCGCTCAATGACGTCTGTTTTTTTTTCTAACAGTGTCGAATGAAAATATGAAGTTTTAGTCTTTTATGTATGCCGAGTTATCATCATCGGTGTTAATATATACGAAGTGATGGACCTTCGGCCACCCACGTGGGTCCAGGTAGAACATAGTGGAGATCCCGAAGGATCCACTTATCGTGTGCTCCATACAACCGCTCGTCTCTTATGGCCACTTGAATTTTTTTTATGAAAATGACAGGATCAAAATTTTTATAGGGTTCAAAATACCGCTTTGATAAAGGAAAAAAGTATTTTTTTAATCCTCAGCTAAACAATAAAATCTTTAATGTTAATGCATTAACAAAAAGAAAAAACATAGATATTTTTTCGGGAGAAACGTTTGACAAAAATATCTTCTTTTAAAAAATAGATAGAAATATTATTTACTGATTAAAAGATAAATAAATATGACAAAATGATATCAGCATAAAAATATTTCACATTAAATATAAATTAATACCAAAACGTATGAAAATACATAATATTGTGATTATGAAAAAAATATTTCTTTTGGAGTTAAAAAAGTAATTTTGGAGTAAACATTTTATTTTATTTATTTATCGTTTCTTTTACTGAATGAAAATTTCAAAAAACGTTTATTCATACTGATGTGAATAATTCGAGCTTTATTTATTAAATATTATTGATTAACTTGTAGTGTTTTAATTTGGAGTACAAAAAATTTTTTCAACAGATAGCCCATTTGTCAATGAGAAGATTAAAAATATTCCATTCAAAAAAAAACAAAATAATGATCCATAAAAATAGTATTCAAATTGACAATCATAATAATGATATAGGAGTTTTGAATGAATTAAAATCAATTGTTGTTGAAATTAATAAAGTCCTCTTTATTTGCTAATTTTTTAAAAAGAGTAATGAATTCCACAAATATTAATAAAGTGATATATACAACGTTATCTTCAATAATCACATAATACACATCAGTAAACAAAATCATCAAAATCAATCTCTAATAATAGCTAGAATGCGAGATGTACAAAGTGATATAGCTTTCTGTAATCTCAAGTAAATAAGGAATTGCTAGTTAATTGACAAGATTGACAATCAAAAGTATAGTATGGATCAACATGACAGAAAGTCAAAAATTACATAAGATTTTAAACGTTAAACAACACGTGTGTTTCGATTACACAAATTATCAACAGAAACCAATCCTTCTTAAACACACTTTAAATTTATTTACCCATAATATAAAGACTTTATTTAAACATTTTAGCATTGAAACAAGGAAAAGAGATGACAGATCAAATTAATATTTTCATTTTATGTCTACCATAAAAAAATATTACAATTTTATTAGTTAACATTGTGTGTTATGTAGTATGTTCTGTAGATAGAAAATTATGAAACATTTCTCACTTTTAATTCATCGTATACATGTAGGAGCTGTTAATTTGACAACTTTGGGTGTTAATTATTAAGGTCTTGGAATACTCATTTCCGGGCTTCCCAGTTTTATGGATGTCCGGCTTAGATGGTTCTTCAGTTTAATTAAATATTAGAGTTTGTATATGTACAGTTTATACTATCATTCATGAGTCTTCACCTTTCCGACGTTTTAATACATTCTTCCAAGTTCAGTTGATTCAAGAGTTTATTGAATGAAATTCATTCAGAAATTAAATCCACGTTTTCCTTGAAATTTTATGTTTATAGTATTTTCTTAATGGAACGTGGGAATAGCGTGAATTTTCTTAACTTTGTGTGATTTTTATAACTTTTTTCATTTTAGACAGGAAGTTGTTGGTTTTAATTAAATACTAATTTATTCTATGTCTTAAGGAAATATTATTCCTTTTAATTGTTTATTATTTAGACAGAGTATTGGATTAAAACTCATAATACGATTGTTGTTATTATTTTAGATGTCAACATTTAAAGTGTTGAAGAGAGAAAATATTTTTTCTTGCACTCTATCTAAACAAATGGATCCTTTTTCACTGAGAAAATTTTTTCATATTGCTGAAAGACTTTTTTTCCCAAATTTACTGTGCTTTTAGTTTAATAAAGATTATCACTTGAGTTAATCTGATTTTTTTTTCTACAAAAATAAAAGGGGTTAAATTTATTTAGTGAAATAAAAATTATCATGGAGTTGGTAATAGATTTTATTTTTTGGAGCTTGCTAAAAAAATGGAGTTTTATGCAATTACCAACTTTTTAATTAAGAAAATTCATTAGGATATAACATATTCATTAAATTAAATATTTTTTATACATGAAAAAATTTTTGAAGCAAAATTGAAGATAAAAATGTATTTTTTCAAATTTAGTTATATTAAACTTTCAAGTACTCCCCAGTTTTCATGCAATTTATTAAAAACATCAAATCATTTTTTTTGCGAGTGTCTTTATGTTAAAACATTTTTAATTATTTTTATTTAACAATCAAATTTAAGACATTCATTTAGAAAAAATTAAATATTAACTACTGAAATAGTGAGACTGTTTTCTGACAGCATAAATATTTTACTCTTTCAATTGAAATGACTTTTTTTTTAAAATAAGAAAAATTTTTTGTTTTTAAAAATTGGGACAGTGTGTATTTAAAGGATAGACCATTCCATAAAAGTCTATATTTCATTCGACCAACTGATACTTATGCGTGATAGTGTACATCAATCTATAACACAGAGATAGTAGGAGTAGATAAAAAAAATGAAAAGCTAAACTGTGCTTGAGAGTACTGATATATAGGTAATATTTGCGCAAGTTCTCTACGAGTAAAAATGTTCACTGTCCACCATTTTTTATTTTTTAGTTTGTTCTCTTCTCTTTCATTCATGTTTATCACCCCCTCAATTTGAGTCATCGACAACGTCTGCATTGTTTTTTTCGAAAATTTTTCTGGCGTCAATGGCCAGCATAAAAAAAAAGATTATCTGAAGATATTTACTACGGGGGTAAGTGAAGGATTAAAATGGAACAGTCTTCGATAGATGCAGACGGAGAATAAAGTGTGGCAATAAAATACATCACCAGGTATACATTCAAAGATGAAGATAGAGTTGAAAGGTGTTTGGTAGAATAAATATTTCGTTAAAATACTTTGAGAGAATCAGATAAATAAAATTATAAATAAATAACAATGATTCAAATGTAAAAAGACACAAATCGACGTAAATATTATGAAGTATTTCATTTGAATCTCCATTCAGTGGCAAAACTTACGATAGGATAAGCCGTGAGTGTTTGTTCAAGTATATATATTCTATTTAAGAGCATCTAAAGTGTCAGCAAATAAACAATCGGTATATTTATAGATAACGATTGCGTTTTTAAATATAACCATCACATCATCTATCGCGAGTGATCTATTTTACTAATAATCATAATAATTAAAAACGTCTCCACATCTATTGATATTACTTTGTTATCAATTTTATACCACGTCTTATACTCAACAGTATATATCACACGAGCTAACATTTACAGGATCCGTCGTCAGTTTCAACATACTCGTCGACGGCTCGAGACACATGATGGATAAAAGTAATCCATCAATTTATTTTACTATATGCATGATATTGTTTTATATATGTACAATCAAGTTTAATACCAAGTGTACTCACCTCACGCGTTTTATCAGATAGCAGTTTTCTAGCTGATGTCTTTTGTTTCTGTGGAAAAATAATTCATTTCAATGTGAATGAATAATATTACTAATTCTATGAATCAAAAACTTGAACATTGAACTCACATGTGGATATTATTATCTCTTGGTGTTGATTAAAAGTAGTTTGGATTGAGAAATTCACTCACGTACATGTTATTACATATAATATTAATGATAATAATAATAATAATGTAAGTATAAAAAATTTTCAATAGCCGTATATACTAGCATGTTCTCACGGGTTAAGCCGGGGTGTCAAACGCGGTGGCAGTTGACATGACGTGAGATGCTGTCGAAGGACGCCGACGTCGCGCGAAATTACGCAAGCAGGCGCCCTGAGTATCGCGAGGGTGGGTCGCGAAATGCGCGCGCATCTGTCATGTCCCCGAGGGCCTCTACGTAATATCAGATAGGGGCGTGATCATTTTCGGTTACTTGAATCCCTTTAACGTGCCTCTGTGTCAGCTGGACTGGTGGATCTTGCTCGTGTATGGGAGAAGCCTGTCTACGATTGGTTAGTCAGAGGGTACCGGGTGTGTCGTCGTTGTGGGCGACATTGCGCCCCGGAGAGGGGAGTATTTGAACAAGACTCGGCGGCTCAAGAGTACCGGAGTACACTTGCTAACCGGCCTCCATCTACACGACACACAGTGTGAAAGTGAGAGAGGGCGCGCGCTCAAACAGCCGCAAATAACACCACCGTGTTACGTAGTGTGTTATATAGTTGTTGTTGAGACAACAATTACCCCTATCACAGCGTCATCGAGTACTGTGCGGACACACATTGTTCGAGTTTACCCGCGGGTCTCTTGTCGTATGTCAAGACTTGCCGCGAGTGTACTGTTTGTGACGTTTTTTTATTTCATTGCGACTCGATACATTGTTTTTTATTTGATCTTAAAGATTGTGACTTACTCATTAAAAGTGATCCGTTGGCAGACATTACGGTGATGCAACAGTGCTCCAAAGTTGATTGGAGTGAAGTAGTGTAATTAAATTATTTTAGAAAAAAATTAGAAACAATTGTGAAAATTAGTGAACAATAAGTGTAGTGATAGACGCGGTCCAAGCACCAAAGACATTTATAATAGTCTGCATTCATCCATGCTTCGAGTTTGACAGGCAAGTGGTGAAATAAACTTTGTCATCTCTATGACAATGCTTCAATCGCAAAAGCTGTACAGCGAGGCTGGCAGCCTCGGTAATGCTATGACAAGTGCGACGATGTCAAGTATGGGTAGCATGGCGCCAACATACAGTTCTATCAACTCTATGGGATGTGTACCTATGGGTATGTCAATGGGAGTCGGAGTTGGACCGAGTTGCAGTCCTCAAGGAGCTAGTTCTTTCAACATGAGTACCATGAGTCCAATGGGAATGGCATCAATGGGAGGAGGTGGAATGGGTGGCTATGGAGCCGCTGGAATGGGTGGTGGCAGCGCTTGTATGACACCCGTCGGATACGTTGGCGGAGCTGCAACAGGCCGAGATCCATTGTCTTTAGCCGAGCCTGATTCACCTAATTCTGCACTTCAACGTGCACGAAATGACAAGTCTTACAGACGTAATTACACCCACGCTAAACCACCATATTCTTACATTAGCCTCATTACTATGGCTATCCAGAATGCACCAACAAAGATGCTGACGCTTGCTGAAATTTATCAATTCATCATGGATCTCTTCCCTTTCTACCGGACAAATCAACAGCGCTGGCAAAACTCCATCAGGCATTCTCTCAGCTTCAATGATTGTTTTGTGAAAGTTGCAAGAACTCCAGACAAACCTGGTAAAGGATCATTTTGGACACTTCATCCTGAAAGTGGAAATATGTTTGAAAATGGATGTTATTTAAGACGACAGAAGCGTTTTAAAGATGAGAAGAAGGAACAACAAAGACAAAGCAATAAACATCAACAACACCCACATCATCAATCCGGTGCTACTGGTCACACGAGTCCTACATCTCATGAGCTCGCTCATGTAGGTAAAAAGACAGCCTCTTCAATTCATCATTCTGTTAACCAACAGCCTGATGATAAAGATCTTCATTCTCTTGTGTCATCTCATCATCACCACGCGACGGGTCTTCATCAACACCATGGTGGTCTCAAAAGTGATGCTAACGATATTGGAGGATTATTAGGCGGTGATCTTGGTGCTACTCATGATGAGCTTGCAGCTATGGTTGGACGTAGTTTACATCCTCATCTATTGACTGATCCTTCGGCTTTACACCACGGCATGGCTGGTAGTCTTAAGCAAGAACCTCCTTATACTGCAGCTAATCATCCATTCAGCATTACCAGGTTACTTCCTGGTGAAACAGCCGCCACATCGCCTGGTGCTCAGGATAGAAAGCATCCGGATCTCAAAATGTATGAACAGCTTCATCAAAGTTATGCTAATTACGGATCTCCTCATCATCACGGGCATTCTGGTCCACCATCTCATCACCATCATAATGGAATGCATTCTAGTTCCAATCCAGTCGCTACAATGCATAATATGACAAATCATCATCAAGAATATTATCAACCACCTCTTTATCATCACGCAACTAGTGTAACAACCGCCGGAAGCATTCCACCAAGTGTTTCATCGTCAGGATTGTGATATCAAGCCTCACATCCGTATGCCCTCGCCTAAGTTAACTAACTAAGTGAAGTTAGGTAATTACCGTCGCCGCGGCCCACCCCGAGTAGAATTTTCTTCTGGGAAAGAGAATATTAATATTAATATTATATAATTAAATATGTAAATTTTTATTAAATAAAAAAATCTAAGTTGAAAAAAATTTTTTTTAATTTCTGTTGAAAAACAATTATCCCAGATAGATCAATTCTGGATTATTTACTTTACTTTTCTACCAATTTAATATCATAATATGCAACTTATAATCATACCTTGTGCCTCATCATATTCATATAATATTTGGAACAGTACACATAAAAATTAATGTAATTATAAAGTAATTTGATTTTAATTATTTCTACAATAGAAGAAACAGTGATGATTGTTAGCATCTTATAAACACGATAAATATAATAATATTGGTTTTAAAAATAATAAAAAGTTTAGGCCTCACAAGATGAAAAGTTGAACACATGAATTGATATAAACTTGGTAGAAATTTGAAGTAAATTTATTTATTTAATTAAATGTATAGAAAAAACAGTTGAATGCAATCTATGATAATCCTACAAGTCTATCTGGGCAATTGAAACAAACGTTTTATAACTTTGTACTGCTACATACGTATTTTGGTTATCATTTGGTCTTGATGACTTAAATTGTAGAGCAAGATCTCGACTTAGAAAATGTTTTATCATTGCTGATGTATTTTTGACAATAGATAATTTTTTGTTCATCATTCTTAAAAATTTACGTACCTGAAATTAAAATATACATTGTTTATTTTACTTTTATGTAATTTTATGTAAAATATAATATGCAGAGCAAAAAAAAGTATAAAAATTGACGATTTTGCTATCATCATTCTTATCTTTTAATGCCTCTTCTAGCTGATCGAAAATTTCTGTAGTTTCACAGGGAAGCTTCACGTTCGGGTTACTTTTTTCACCATTACTCATTATGTAATATTGACTTATATTTTGAGCTTGGAATGAATTTTTCAAGTCAATGATCAGACTGTTCTAAGTACCTATTTGTTTACTAAGTGAGTAGTAGTTACCAATCATTGTGTCTATTTTAGATTATAATGATTTTGAAGTTTTTTTACAAATACAATACGAATTTTCTGTGAAAAAAATATCAACTTAAAATTATATTTCTATCAAAATATAATTTACATTTTGTGTATTTACTATAAAAACTCACCATATTTATTATTACCTTCTAATTTGTCATTTTTGGTATTATCTGATCTACTTGATTTGAAAAATTCTGTATCATTTTCGCCACTGGAGTCTATTGAAATATGAGTTGTTTTGCTTCCCTCTGATCTTGAACTTCGTTTGTTACCATTTTTAGGCTTTTTTGTTCTTTTATTCTATCTAAACTTATACTATCAGAACTTGAACTTGCTTTTTTTTTGTGTTTTTCATGAAAAAATATAAAAGGGTGGCTACGTTTTTAGAAAGATCTTTTATGTTCAATAGATTCCTTGTCTCTTATTTTATAATTATTTGAACTGTTTCCACATTTGGATAATAAATTATCCATTTTCATAAAAACAAATGAATAATCATAAAAATTTTTAAACATTTAAACGTAAAATAAGTTCATAGTTACAGTGATTCATAACTTATAATTGTTATTTATTTATTAACATTCAATAAGCTTTTGGCATTATAAGTTTAAAATAAATTTCTTAAAAATTGATTACTGTGATAAAAAGAAATATAGTTTGATAAAGCTAATTATCAATATTTGAATCGAAGTTTCATTCAAATTGTTACAAACATTATCACAAATTTTCCCAATGAGGGCCTGATGGGTATTTGGGCATACCCAAAATAAATTCTACTCGGGACCAGGTCGCTTGCATCAACGAAGATGATGGCTCGATGCCGATAATCATCGGCATCGGGGAATTGTAATTATTGTAAGAAATTGTTAGGAATTTCCAGTCGGGATGTAAAGTAAAGTGGCAACAATACACGCCAGTGCAAAAAAATCGCGTAAGCGACGTTTAAGTATACTTAAATATTGCAACGTTTAAGTATACTTAAATATGCCTATAGGCATGTTCATTACAATTAAATTTTATAAAATTTAAGATTTTAGATTTAAATTTAAATTTAAATTTAAATTTAAAATTTAAAATTAAAAAGTTAGAAATAATATTAAAATTAAAATTATTATATAGTATCTAAATTAAATCCAAATAATATCATGTGATGTAAAGTATTATAATGATGAAAAATTAATAAAAAAAAAACAAATACTAAAATTGAAGTTAAATTTTTAAATACTCTTCTATCAGATTATCTTTTATTTTAGAGTAATTTCCAAAAATAGAAATTAATTTTTAAGTTAATTTAAACAATCACGAGTACTGAAGATGACTTTAAGGACAAGTTGATAAGCAAGGATAAATTGGTGCCAAAAATGCTTTCTGTAGGCCACGCTATTATCATAAGCCTGAAATTACATGACAATTAAATACTTGTAAATACTCGTGGAGATATACATAACTCCATCGAGATATGTTTCGTCACCGTGACAAAGAGTGTAAGAGGAATTAAGACAAATATTGTTATCAGGTGACGTTTTATATCTCCTCGAAATAACAGGCTCGTTTCTTCTTTTATTTTTCCATTCTCTTTAAACTTATATATGTGCCTTACATTTCATTACATTTATTTTTTCCCGCGACTCTGTTATTTTTCTTGTAATTTCTGACTCACGTACTGATACAAAGATGGACTTATATTGGATTTTTTTTTAAGTATCTCTCCACCAATCGCTCGGAATTAAAGTGGAAAAATAGATAAACGTTGCTTAATCAGTTTTCGTATTCTTATGTTAAAAATTCTTATTCAATAATCAATTGTTATCTTTAGAAAATAAAAAAAACTCCGTATTTTTCGAATGGAAATAAACTTTGTAAAAAATATATTTTTCTTTTAAAAGAGATAGGTATTGTTATTGAATGAAAGAACATTTTTCTTTAAAATTACAAATTAATTACTGGAATTAATTAATTAGTCTTGATTATCCGGAAAAAAGTGAGTCTTGATTAGAGAAAAGACGCGTACATTATCGAGGATTTTCTTCTTGTTCGTTCGCCAACGATTTGGTTAATTTGATTGAGCTACGAAAACTCGAAGAGTCGCGTGGTAATTAATTGTACCAACTCACGTTTCTTAACGATTCAGCGAACTGTACATAATTCATCTAACGAAGCAAATTCTTAAATTAACGAGGTGTACAGACTCTTGGTTTTTTTCTCACGATTAACTTACAGCTTTTCATTTTACTGCACCGAACTTCATCATTTATTTTCTAATTTGTTTTACAAGTTGATAAAAATTTCAAGAAATAAAAAATTCATTCAATCAAAATATTTTTTCTTACTCCAATTCATTTCTTTCAAAATAAACCATCTCATATTTTTACAATAAATTTAAGAAATTTAAGTTTTTTGATCCGAAGTTTTTTTCTCTCAATTAACTTCAAATTTTCTTCCTCTTCATAAAATTTTAATATTTATTTTTCAATCTTCACTAAAGAAAAAAAAAATCTAAACGAAGTAAATAAAGAAGATCAAAGTAAAAATATTTAATAAACGAATGAAGTTAAAAAAATTTTTGACAACTCATTAATAATAAAAACGATGGATTTTATATCTTTGATAAAAAAATGTTAAACATTTTCAATAATTTTCGTTCATGTTCTAAAAAAATTGTCATGTTAAGTTTAAAAAATATTAAAAAAAAAAAACTCGGTATTTACTTCTTTGATTCAGTAGTCGTTTAACTTAATAGTTATCATCGCAATGAATAAAAGTTTCGACAGTAGAGGAATAAAAAAATCTACAGGCAGTAGATTCATACCCAAGTAATTAAGAAGAATAATTTGTCGGTAGAAAAGATCTGGAATCTCTATGAATACCTTTCATTTATATGTTGAATCTATATTTACATTAGAAGACTGATCGATTGATGAGTGGGACAAATGAAACATTACCATGTCTCGTCTTTTAATTTCAATATCTGTCAGGTTCTTTTTCTCTACTGCTCTCTTGTCAAGCGAGGAACAGCACTCCGAATAATTGAGGGAGGCTAATGGATCCGCGGTAACTCTTATTTGCACAGTTTTAAAACACGACCGCGATGGAAGGAACGTTCTTTTCGTCCAGAGATTACCGATACTGTTCTGACTTTCGAGAGTTTCAACAAATGAAAACGATCAAAAAAATGAGAATAGTCAAATTCTTCAACTTATATTCTACTGACAATTATCTTTATCTCATTTTACCAGAAAAACTCGTTGAAAGTTTTTCAAGTTTCTTGACAAATAATTATAGGTAGGTGTGATATAATCTCACGGAAATTTCTCAGGATATCTTATCGCTGCGACTCAGTATATTCAACGTTATCAGCAGCCGAATGTATTTATGGGGTGGAATATAAACCTCGAGAAACGTTCAAAGTTGTATATATCAAATTTTATGTTGATGAAAATATTGAAACTTTTTTTGGTGTTATTTCAAATATTATTATATTGATTTATTCATTTATTTTTAAATTTAAATTAGCTTAAGTAATATTTTTATTAGTTAGTAAATGTTTATTAAGTAGACTACTTGCGAAAAAAAAATTCATGAACATTTATTGTATACATAATAAAGAAGCAGAAAGTATTCTATGATGACTTTTTAAATATTATCAATGTTAAAAAGTAAAATTAGATGATAATTCATAGCTTTCGGATTAGATATAATGATTATAAAGCAAATTATTATGCATATGAACCACGTACAGCAGCTACTCAAATTATTCCTTGCCAACAATTAGTGTTTAAACAAGTGTACATCTTTTTGTTAATTACTACGTTCATTTAATTTGTCGTCATAAATTCTGATTCATTATTTATTTAAACTGCTGCGCAGTTACATAACATGTATTTCGTTGATAAAACTCGATAACGAAGTAATACGTAAAAAAATTTTTAAAAATAACTAAACTTATTTTACGTTTTTTTTGAAATAATTTTTCGCTTTTAGCATTTAAAAGTTTAGATGAGTGACCAAAAATATAAAAACATCTGATCGATGATTAAATCTATTTGTCTTCAAGTTTACAATTCTAATATGTATGACGAGTGATT